ACAGGGTGCTTGCTGCCGGTGGCTGCAGGGGGGCACGCTATGGCTATGGGGTGCTCACTGCCAGCACAGTGACTGAATGTTCTTTCTGTGGAAGAAGGTCTCTGAGAAAAATCAATACAAAGCCTATCTGGCAGCCTATAAATAAACTCCCACTCTATGCAAAGCACTTGTATCAGGGTGAGATTAGAGGATTAGGAGCTTTGTGTGGGGCAGAAATCTGGTGAAGAAGAACCCTTGAGAGGCCTGATATTTACAAGATAACCATACTTGGCAAAGTAAACTAAGATGAAAGGGAGACCTTCTGAGCTGTGATCATTTTCATGAGGATTCAACACCAGGCAATGGAAACCAGCAGGTGCAAACATCCTTATCTGGGTTCACGGCAAAGGAGACCAGGACCTCGGGGGTGAAAGGCTTTGCCTCTTGTTTGCAGAATTGTAAAGGGCTGTGTAAGGTCGATGGGGCTATCTTACCACACCAAGCACACTTAGAATCCAGCCGCAGTGCAGCCCATCTCAACTCACTGACTCAGGAACCTCAACCTCTAAAATTCCTTGACTGGTTGTGACCCACAATATGGGTAAGGTTTAACCAGTTCTTTCACACTCTTCTACATTTTTCCTAGACTGTTTTTTTTTTTTTTCTACGTTGTTCCATTCCACAACCATCAGAGTTGCAAAAGTGGAGTGAGATGTATGATCCCATGTTAGATTCTCAACAACAACAACAAAATCCAGAGACTGTTTTGGGGAGAAGCCCTGGTAAGGAAGTCTGTCTCCCCATGAAGGAAACCTGTCAAATCTGAGGTTGGTTCTGCCCCTTCCATTTACAAAAGCTGAGACAGCTTTGGGAATGCCTGGTTCTTTTCACCTGGTTACTGTCAGAGTCTGTGGTTTTGGTTCCAGGTCATCTTCCCTTTCATTTCATTCTTTGATACACCCCCCCCACACACACGTATAATTTTTTGTTAGTTTCTTTCCTCCAGAACCTTCACCTTCAGCAGTTAAATCATCAGTGCTTGAGAGATTAAAAAGGGCTTTCCTCATCCCGGCTGGGCCACTTAAACACTGCAGCGAGGAGTGGTTATCTCTCAGGCCACAGGAGACAGGACTGTTTTGAATAATCAATTAGCTACGATATGCAAAGCGCTTGGAATAATGACTGCCACCCCGTGCACAAGCAGTAAGTGTGAGCCATTAGCACTACGCTTTTATCAAGCATCACACTGTGACCTTTCCAAGCTTGTTGGAGTAATTTCTCCTTTTCCTTTTAGCATTTTAACTAGTTCTTTTCAGTGCAGTAATGATACTCAAAATCGTTTTTCCCTCTAAGGAATACTCTCAAGTTTTGTCAAAAACATCAGCAACATTGGATGTACTCAGACATTTTATCTTTGAATAAGGCTTTTTTTTTTTTTTCCCCTATCCTTTATGAAAAGTTACCCTGTTGTTGCTGCGGAGAAACTGTCAATCCTTTGTAAACAATATGCTTTCTCTCTCGCACTCCTGAGGTACTGCGGATTGCACCCAGGGATTGTGCATACTAGGAAAGCGCTCTGAAACTAGCAGCAGCCTCTACTTCGTTCTTGGCTCAGTACAGCTAAGGAACTTTCTGTCCTCCAGCCTGAGCCTCCTGGAGAGCCGAAGCCCACTGCTTTTAGAGAAGCTATTTTCTTCTTTTTGGTGACTGATTATGATGTTTCAACCTGAGGACTCCTACCTTCTATAAACTGAAATATTCTTAACCATTGGTTCTTCATCCTAGTTCTCCAGTGCTTGGATTCTAATTACATGACTGCTGGTTCTCTGGGCTCCATCTCTGAATGTGTTAGTTCAGATTTTCCAGTCTACATTGTGTTTTGGAAATTTTTCTTTTCCTTTCCTCTCATGAGCTAGAGTCCCACATAGTCCAGACTGGCTTCACGTTCCCAGTGTAGGTGAAGCTGACCCTGAACTTCAGCTTCTCCTGTTAGGGAGTTTTGGATGTGCTGGCTATCTCAGGCTGGCCTGGAATTCATTACATAGCTCAGGCTGACCTTGAACTGGCAGCAGGGGTTTCAGCACAAGCTACTCTGCCTCGAGTTTTGAAAATTTTTCTTACACCAATTTTCTAGCTCAGAAATTTTATTTTCACTTGTGTCTGACATTTCATTACACATTCACTGATTTTTTAATTTAAAAATTATTTTTGATCCTGTGTGTGCATGTGTTTCTGTGTGTGGGTTTGTGCATATGAATGCTGGTGCCTATGGAGGCCAGAGGTGGACACTGGAAACTGCCTGATGTGGGTACCAGGACCTGGACTCCAGCCCTCTGCAAGAGCAGCAAGTACTCTTAGTTGCTAAGACGCCCCTCTAGCTGTCACCCTGGAGTTTTTAATATCAGTAACTTATAAAAGGGAAATTCAGGGCCTGGAGAAATGCCTCAGCAGCTAAGAGCACTGGCTTAACTTCAAACGGACCCAAGTCTGGTTTCCAGCATCTACAAGGTGTCTAACAACCACCTGGAACTCCAGTTCCAGAGGATCTGATGTCTTCCTCTGGCCTCACCCATATCGACAGAACACAGTCCAAGAATGGAGTCATGTGAGCAGAATTCTGAGTGCCTGTGAGAACTCTTCAACAAAACAAGATAAAAGTCTTGTGAGCTCAGTTTCTTCAATCACACAGAATTGTTCTTGGAACGTGCTTGCACTCCCCTCCCAGGTATAACGGATAGGAGAGAGTTTACCTCAGATTATTCACTCCAATCTGCCTATTGTTATTTGTTTATATGCCTCTATGGAAAAACATGGCTTTGTTGCATGCATATATGGCTTGCCTGCCATGTGCGGCCTGCCTTTGTGATCATCTATTGGCTCCATTCTCCCCGGTCCCACCACTTCTAGAAAGTAAATGGGACACAGATAGACATGTATGCAAAACACCCATAGATATAAAATAAAAATAACTCTTAAGCTTTTTTTCCTTTTCCTGACAGAATTGCTTTTGTGCTGTTGTTGGGTACTTATCAAATAGATAAGTACTCTATCTGTTCCCTTGGTTTATCTGTTCATCTTTTGACTAAACCTCACTTTGTGGGTTTGTCTGTTTTTTGTTTGTTTGTTTTTTGAGACAGAGAACTCACTCTGTAGACCAGGCTGGCCTCAAACTCACAGAGCTCTACCTGCCTCTGCTTCCCGTGCTTGGATTAAAGACTTGCACCACCACCCCTAACCCTCACTTTCTGCATCACTAGAGCTTTATAGTAGGCCTTGGTTTCCCCTAGGGTGACATTTGCCAACTCTGTTCTTTTTCAAGACTGTAATGTTGGATCCTTTAGTTTTCTAAACAGATTTTAAAATGAGTTTTCCAGGTTAACAATAAACAGAAACCCGCTGAACAGGGCACAGTAGCATGTGCCTGTAATCATAGCCCTGGGGAGGCAAGAGGTAGGAGGAGCCTTAAAGTTCTAGGCTAACCTTGTCTACACAGTGAGTTAGAAGCCAGCTTCTAAACCCCAACCCCAACTCAAACCAAATACCCATTGGGCCTCTGACTGGTATTGACTCTGTAAGTCAGTTTGATGATACATACTAGTGTCAGCACCCAGTTGTTCGGCCAATAGCAAGGTACGCTTCTCAATTTACACGGGTGCTCTTTATTTCTCTTACCAAGGTTTCATAGCTTCCAGTCTTAAATCCTTTCCATTCTTATCATTACTCTTATTGCTGGTGGTCCTGGAGACTGAATCTAGGGCTAGGCAAGCACACTAGCCCTGAGCTACACACTGTCAGTGCTCTTTACCCTTTTTACCTTGTAGCACTGCTGTAAGTTCACTTGTATGTTCTAGGAGTGTTTGCACAGGTTCTGTAGCACTCTCTACAGATGATCATGTTACTTTAAAAAGGCCATTTTACTTCTTTTCAGTATTTATGCTTCATGTTGTACTGCTTAGGTCTTCTAATGTAATTGTAAATAGAGATAAAGTAAAATTAGACTTGGAGGACAAACAGGGAGGAATGTTCCAGGATTTAGTCTTTAAATTTTGACACTAGCTGGCAGTTTTTGTGTAGGTATTGTTCAGGGGGAAGAAGTCTGTCCTATTTTTATTCCTGGAATATGCAGGAAGTTTTTCACAAATGGTGCTGTTCTTTGTCAGATGCCTTTTCTGCATCTACAAAAATGATCTTACAAATTCCTTCTTTACATTGTTAATGTGAATTACACTGATTCATTTAATGCAGTACATAAATCTACATTGCTTATATAAATTTAAATTGTTATAAAATATTAGCCTTTTCACATGTATTTTTTTCCTCCTGGAAAAAAAATGATAGATTCAACAGTAAAGCTGTCAGGGCATGAGTTTTCTTTGGGAAATTAGTTATGAGTTCTATTTCTTTAACAAACATTTAACTAATTACTTATTGCTAATTTTTGTGTCTTTCAAAAAACATGCATATTGCACCTGGGTTAACCTTTTTTTTTTTCTTTTTTTTGAGACAGGGTTGCACTGTGCAGCTCTGACTGGCCTAGAACTTGCTTTGTAGACTGGCTTCAACCTCACAGAGATCCACCCACCTCCGTCTCCTGAGTGCTGGGATTAAAGGTGTTCACTACCATACCTGGCTGGGTTATTAATCTTTTAAGATAACATTTCATCTCCGACTTTCAGTTTCCGTAAGCTCTGTAGTGATGTCCCTTCTTTCACTCTTGACATCGGTAATTTGTATGGTCTCTCCTTTTTTCTTTATCGATTATTTCTAGGAGTTTACACTAAATGTATTGATATTTTTAAAGAACTAAATTCTGTTTGATTTTTTCTTCTTGATTTGTGTTTCAAAGAGAACATTATAGATCAAATGAAAGGCTCCTTCTTCCTCTTCTCTACACATACCCGTACCTTCTCTTCCCCAGCAACCACCTCTCCTGAGTGTCATACTTACTATTCTCCTAAGAAATACGCATATTCAGATGAAGCTACTTTCTGGTGGTCTTCTAAGATCCTCCCTTCACTTACCATGTTTCCTGCCTCTGCAGCCAGACGAGCAGCATAGCGGGCTATAAGCCGGTGCTCCTCATCCAGTCGGCTAGGGCTGTCCAGGACACTGCCAAGGAGATAAAATTAAACAGGTGTCTATTATTAAACATCGCTAATTCCTGTCTGTTCCTCAAGGAGAAAGGCTTGAGAACAAAAACATGTAGAGGCCCGGGTCCCAGACACTAGCATCTTCTGAGACAAGAGGAGTTGGAGAAATAATGAGGTGCATATACCATCCTCATGCAGCCACATGAGCATGAGATTTCTAAACAAAGTTTGGGAAAACTAACTTTATAGAGCTAGGTCTTGAACTTAAAAAAAAACAAAACAAAACAGGACAAGAAAACTAAGGGATCATGAAAAACAAAGGGCTAAGAAAAAGTATACTGAGGGAAAATGGGAAATCCTGGCCTGGGTTGGCCAAGCAAACTGACAAGCTAGAAAGAGTCCATGTTATTAGACATTTACTTTTAACACCTCTTTCTCTTCTCTTAAAATTATGATGCTACATAATGGGCTCAGTTTTGAGTGAACCTGTCCACTGTTGTTGCTGTTCCTCCTCCTCCTTTTCTTTGAGGTAAGTGATTTCTGTATTGGCCAGACTGAATTCCCAATTCTCCTGCCTCAGTGTCCCCAGAGTAGAGCAGGGATTATGAGTGCCACTGTGTCCTGCCTCATCCATTATTGTTGCAATGTAAGAATTCATGCAGATGAGGTACTAGATAATATGGTACTTGATAAAAGAAGATCAGCTCCACAAATATAGCTGGCTCCTAGTCATTATCTATCTATCTATCTATCTATCTATCTATCTATCTATCTATCTAT